CACACACACACACACACACACACACACACATAAATTAGTAGTTTTACTGTTTCCAAACAAATATATTTTTTAACTTCACAGATTGCCAAAAAAATACTCTAACCTTTTTGGGATTTCAGATCTATGTTTTTTCCTTGACTGACATAAACATCTATCATCCCCTGATGTGTAGAAGCTTTTAGACATCCATCCGCTGAATCTGAAAAAGATTCAGAATGAGAAGATTAAACCCTGATCCATGTTTGTTCTTCTGAAGCAATAGTATTAATGACTCCTCTTCTAGAATTAACAGGTTTTATGCAGGGCCTCTTCTCTTTAGTCTGGAGTAGCTGCCATGGCCCACTCAAGTAAACATTGCTTTAGTTTTGCCTACATTTTCAGCATAGGCTTTTTTCCATGGGAGAGAATTTCACTCGGAGAAAGCCACCACAAGCATGCAGCATGGGTGGAATGCTGCATGCCATACCTCTCCTCAAGTGCAGTAAGGCTGTGATGGTTTCGCCGATTTTTAGATTTTACAATATCCTGGGTAGGGACCAGATATTAAATCTGAATCTTACATTTGAGTTTGGAGGAATAGGTAGGGAGATAATTACTGAATTTATTTATAGCAACCGGCACACACTTACAGTAAATAGCACAATTTTATTATTAACTGCTTATACTGGAAGTAGTCTTTGTTTTCTTCCATATTTATTAGCTTTTGTCTATGATCATGTAAGACTGTCTAAGGAAACTGTCTACTTACATAGACAGTTTAGACAGACAAACAAAAAAGAACCAGCCAGATCTGGAAATAATTTTCCAGTGGTCTCCATTTCATATCACTGTATTTGCAACCCATTCGGAGTTTAAGAAAACAAACAAGTTTCAACAATATTACAACAAAGACCCAAAGAATCAACTTTTAATGAAATAAATGGTATTTTTTGCTGTATATAAGAAACATAAATCCCACTCTTAGTCTAAGAAATGTGTAGCAGTGTGTAGCAATCCAGAGACTTGTACAAGTCTGAAACAAGGATCTGCAGTCCTTGAGAACGATGAATAGGAAGTGGTTGAGATGACAGTATTTCTCCACTGCAAACTTTTGTTTATCCAAAACTTTACTGGCAATGGCAAACATGGCAAAAGATTAGCAGAGACCATTCAGTTTTTCTGATGGGTGTGTGTGCACACGCACGCGTCTGTGTGTGTAAGGAAAAAAATATATTGTGACAGAAAATTTCAAGAACTGTCTAAAAATCACAAGATTTAATCCAAATGAAGCTAATTACAGATGACGTGGCAATTTGACATGGCCAAGGTATTTGGAAGAGGATATAATTAGTAGTGAGGGAGACAGGTGAGGATCCTAGCACAGACACCAAGGGCTCCTATAGACGTGCGGGGAGCCTGCTCTGGAGCACGGGACTTGATGCGCTCTGGCAGCCTTCCACGTGTCCCTGCACTGAACAATGGCGGCGGGGCGCTTTGAAATAAAACACGTTCAATGGGCTTCAGTTCTAAGTGCCCCACTGCCATTTTTTCAGCACGGGGATGTGGAGATGCTGATATGTGTAATGCACGGGCACTTTCAATTAGCGCAGCTTGCTAATTAAGGTGCCCAGGGTTGTGTCCCAGAGCATGTACAAAAATGCTCTAAGCTTCCCAGAGCTAAGCTTTTTAGTGGCAATATGTACTCACTGAACTGATGTGCATTTTTTTCCTAAACTAATTTCTCAAACTAGAAGCAACAAACCAACTTGCCACATATAAGAGAAACAAACTGGGAAGGGACTGTTATTCTACAGCCAGGACAGCTTTCTTAATGGGGAAAGTATTAGAAAAAAAAGTAAGTGTGCCTAATCTAATTTTACACAGCTTGGAAACTGACAGCATTTTTTGGCTAAAAAAAAAATAATGATAACAACCAGTGCTAGATGGGAAACCGTTTTCTCATACCACATATATTTGGAGACATCTAAGCGTTTTTCCCATCCAAAAATCAGAATGAGTAGTCAAAAATCTTAACACTTTTCATGAAGTGAAAATCCAAATTGGTTCAGATGGACTGAAATGTTTTGATCATTTAGATCTTAACTTATTTTTCCTATAATTAAAGTAAAAATAAAGAAAAGATCTTCCAAAGTAGAAAAGATTTTGTTTAAACAAATGTCAAAATGAAATGTTTTGATAAATTCATTTTTCCTAATTGAATGAACTGCTCTGTATCAACACTTTTCCACAAAAAATGTGCTTAAGTCAGCACATGTCAACAAAAATTTGGCATAAAAAATTCTAAGCAGCTCTAGTGACCACGAGTAATAGGATAACTTTCACACAACTGTAACAGGGTGCAGAGGCTGGGATGCCACCCCTGCTAGACCCCGGTGGGAGCGGCACTGCCTGTGCAAGTGGGAAACTCACCCGATGAGGTCTGGGTGAACCACACTTCCCCAGCACACTGGAGAAGAGCTCTGGGGAAAAACTCACCCAGCAGAGTCTGGGCAGGCCACACTTCCCTGGCGTGCCAGAGAAGAGCTCCAGGGAAAAACCTGGAGCAGTGTGCTGGCTCCAGGATTGGGGGAAACACATGCCCTCAGGAACTGGCACTGATTGGCCCAGGAGGAAGCCTGGGCTATTTAAAGGGAGACGTCAAGAGAGCCATGGCATTTGGTGTCCCTAGGAACAAAGGTGGTGCAGCAGGACTGGGGAGGAGACCCACAGTGCTGGAGACCCAGCCAGGACACCATGATCCAAGTACCATGAGTGGAATGACCAACGCGACCCATCCAGTGAGATAAGTGATGCCAGATGGTGGGGTAGTGGAGGGTGGCCCCACAAGCTGGAGGTCCAGGGACACAGAGGGAGTTCCCCAGGAAAAGGGTCGCCAAGCCCATCAGGGAAGAAGGCATGAACAGATCACAGAGCCAAGGTTAGCCTCAAGGGACCCCCTAAATAACACACACAAAGCAGGGATTTGCCTGTACTGACCGAGTAAACAGTCACCAGATTTGAACCAGCTGCAGGGAGCTGAGCTGCACCTTCAAACCTGGGGCTCAGAGTTTTTCTTTACAGCCTTCCAGACTACGTACTAGGCAAAGGGGTGAGAGCCTGTTCTTTTCTTTTTTATTTAGTACTCCCAGGCCAGGGAGGGACAGCAGGAGAAAGTAGGATCCACCGTGCATCTAAGTGGATCCTAATCCATACACCTGAATCCTATAAAGCTGTTTAGTTAAGTCTTGGGGACTGGCAGGGAGAGATTCCACTGCACAAAACCCGCCAATCCAGGGAGAACCACCGAACATAGAGCCTCACAACAGAAAAGAGTCAGAGGCTGCAATGAAGGGAGTGAGAGGGGACAAGAAAGGTGACTGCAGACTAGACCAGAACATCTAAACCTGAAGAGAGAGACCTGTCCAGAGGAGATGGACACCAACCACTTGCGGAGCATGTAACCAAAACAAGTCAGGAAGAAATCGAGGTCCAGTGACTCCCACTTACCTTCAACGGAGAGTTACGACTTGTCACCTGAAAGGAAGAGGGCAGAGTGTAGGGATGTTGGAGCTGTGCGGAAAACTGGCCCTTGCCAGGCTGACCAACACTTGAGATATCATCCATCCTCCCAAAGATTATCATAACATTAAGATGTGGCAGACGAGAGGGAGGGCAGATGAGACAAAGGTCCCAGTGATCATAACTTGACAAAGGGAGGTGAGGGACCCACACGCCTGCACAGGGGTTTTGCTGATAAGACATCCTGACCATAAACTAGCCTCTACTTTTGTTTTAACTGGTGAAATAATTGGCTTGATACAAGTCAAGTTATATTTATCACTATAGGGAAGAAGCCATGCTTGATAGAAGAATGACCCACTAACTAGAACTACTGTGGATGGGGTGGACCATAACTGACCAAACAGCCAATGCAATCTGGAAATTATTCCATCTGCCTCTGTGTATCACCAGTCTTCAAATGAAGAGTGCTTCCCTCTCAAATGCTAAAGAGAAACTCTCCTAAGAAAAAGCTCTCTTGAGATTCTCCAACAGAACTGCCTGTTCCTAACCTTGAAACAACATTAAAAGGGTAGAAGAGAAAACTTTAATTTCATGTCTGGAAGAGATTCAGTTTAAACAAAAATACTTCTACCTTCAGGGCAAAGTCCTGCTCTGCATAGTACAAGTACACTCAGAGGCAGGAAACAGGAAAGAGTATATAGGCGTAAGACAGAGTTCACTCTTCAAGTTTTCTTGACTTGTATGATGCTGACAATGCTCCATGGACCTTATAAACAGAGTCCAGGCTTCTGGCCCCTTCTGTGGGTGCTGGGATTACACAAGTGCCCTTCTGGAGAATGCTTTTGTGGAAGAGTAGCTTCTAAGCATCTGCTTGGCCACAGCCGGCCACTGCCTCCCCGTGCTTTCATACTCACTTAAACCATAACTGAGTTAGGGCAGGAGTTAAAAGGTCTTTAGAAGAGGCACAGGTTACAGCTACATTTGGCAAATGCTGAGTATTTTGTTGCAAAAACCTAGAACCCTTTGGCACTAAACAAACAGAAATACAATGCTACAAGCCATGCTTAGCCCTAAAACTGGGCTTCTGGAAACAATTCAGCAATTATATATTGACAAAGAAATTAAAATACCTAGATGGTAGATTAGATAGAGTATCAACATTTAAAAAAAGCTAGCCTCCTTTAAAAAGGCTGTCGAAGGTACTGCTCATGACTTCAATTTCCTTTTGCTGCTGTCTCTCTTAAATTAATTACAGAAGGGACTAAAAATTAAGAAACAGGGCCTGGAGAACCTTGGATAATAAAATGGGCTGAATATGCAGGTTAATAGGACAAAATGCACAGCTGAAGTGTAAATGGAAAACAAACTCTACAGAAAAAGAAGATAAAATAAAGATACTATTTTACATGTAGAGATATACAACAGTAGATGATTTTATTATGAATGAACTACTGAGAATAAGCAGAACTAGAAGATGCTCTAAATACAGAATCTATTACAGACTGACAAGTCAAGGGGGAGCACAAGGATGAATCATTCTAAAGGAAATGGAACAAACAGATGGTTAGAACAAATGACTTGCTACTCTTAAACAATTTCAGCTATCTAAGCATCGGCTAGTACAAAAGCGTGGTGAAGCAAAATGTCCTTGATAATGTTTGTGTTCAGCTTAATGTCTAGAAAACTGTTCTGCACAAA